CGTCATTCTGGGAGAGTGAATGGCTCATGCAGTTGTTGATGTGCCGGTGTCAACTGTGAGGCATGAGCACGGCCTGCCACGGCGCCCGCCGCCTGCGCCGCGCCCGCGGCGGCGGCAGGGGCGGGCCTGCCCGCGGCAGCCACGTGTATGTAGCCCAATAGTGACCGGAAGTGGCCGTTCCAATCACCGGCCGTGATGGAGGGGTCCGCGCCCTCCCCCTTGCCCTTGAGCAGCCTGTGGAAGGCAGCCGGGGCATCGAATTCGAGCCGTGCCAGGTCACGACCCCTCTTGCGCTTCACCTGGCGCTTGTGCCGCCGGGCGGCGGCACACATCTGGCGGTTGAGTGCAACAGCCAGGGTGAAGTCACGACGGCTCAGGGCCCGCCGTCTCCTCCGGCGGAGACGGGAAGTGAGCGGGTCCTTGCATGCCTGTCGCTGCCAGCCTGGCGGTCGGGCAGGGCCCGCCTGCCGGACTGGCATACCAGCGGTATCTAGGGAGCTGGTCACTACCCCATCAAAGCTCATGCATGCTGCAGTGAGCTGCTCGATGGAGGTGGCGGCAGCGGCGGCGGTCGCCGCTGCCTCAAGTGCGGGTCTCGCCCCCCGCAGTGCATCCACAAATGCCGGGAGCAGCGAGGGGACAAAGCGGTACTCCGAACCGCACGGGTTCGGCCCCAGCCCCTCGGCGGGGCAGGGCCCTGCACCCGCAGCCTGGGAATCACCCGCTAGCTGCAGGCGCAGGGTGGCGTGGTCGAATCGATATGTTGGGGGCTGCACCAGCAGCCTGTTCCCAGCCCGGCCCACCACCTCCCCGCTCAACAGGAAGTAGTCCACCAGGCTCTTCCCGGCATGTGCCAGGGAGTGGAACGTCCACTCCCCTTGCTGGTCACCATCTAGGCGCCCATTGGCGATAGCCAGGCCCGTGGCAGCGCAGAAACCCAGGAGCGCCCGCCCCTGGGGGTTTACCTCCCCGTCGCAGCTAGCGCGGGGGGGCAGCGCAACGCAGCGGTCTAGGAGAGTGCGCCCCTCCTCACTCTCCACCCAGTCTGGCAGGCTGGCGGTGCGGCCATTGAGGTCCCCCCCAATGCATACCGTGCCGCCAGCCGCCTGTGCAGCGAGGACATCCTGCTGCAATCTCCCATAAAATGCAGCCAGCTGCTCGCTGGTCCGCTGTGGCGGCAGGTACACACTCGCCACGTATCGCGGGGGGCCAGCCTCCCCCCGGATCTGAATCCAAGCCACTCCCTCCCATCTGTGCCACTGCTGGACCCGACCCACCAGAGAGCTGCGGGCGTAGATGGCCACGCCGCCGCGTCCCCTGCCCGTCGAG